TGCTACAGAGAAGGCCCTGTCACCTCTGCGCTTAAGACGAGTTCCTGGAACTGTGTAATATTAATATCAGACACAGATCAACTGAGTAAATAAAAAAAATGTAGTTTTAAAATTATGATGTCATTTAAGTAAGGGTGGTCCCTCTAGTGAAACACCACAAGTAACATGCGTCATCAGTCAAACCTCAATCATGGTTCAGTCATGACACATATCAGTGCATATGGTGGTTCCATCTGCACGGATATGTGTCACATTCTTTAAAAAAAAAAAAAAGACCTGGAGAATAAAAGCAATTTTTTGGCAAAATCAAAATTCACTTTTTGAAAATTTCAGTTTGTATCTACTTTTTTTCTAATCACAGCATAAAGATGTGGATAAAAATGTTTAAACAAAATATTTAAATGTTATCTGTACAAAAGTGCAAAACAAAGCCAAGATGGAAGGACAAGATTGCAGCGGTAGTGTAGGTTCATATTAGCTTAGGCTCCCATCAGTACTTTAGGGCGGCTGTGGCTGAGTGGTTAGAGCAGTCGTCCTCACCACGCCGCGGGCCCCTCTCAACAAGCTGCTGGGCCTCTGTTGCTCCGCACCCGATAACTTCGCAGTCGATAACTGCGAGTGTCTGATCATCTCCAGATATCGACAAGTGCCTGATGAACAGGCTGCTGTGCGACAACGGTCTGTGCAGAAACACACCTGGGAGTTTCACCTGGCAGTGTCCCAAAGGGTACCGCTTGGACTCGGAGATGGACGTCTGCGAGGGTCAGACGAGCGCTCAGCCTCATTCAGAACATTTATTCATGCTCAGTCTGTCTGAGACACGCAACACAATTCGAGGTGGTACACCGGCTGCACTGGTCCAAAGACAAACTGTCCAAGGTAAAAACTGACCTGGATCCTGCAGGTAATCGTTGTATACAAACTCCAGCTACACTCTTACACACATTCTGGACTTGACCAAAGCTGCGGACCTATTGGCAATCCGTCTTTGAGACGTCCTCTGGGATATGTGGAAAAACTGTGTAGCCATCAACATTCATTTCTTTGTTTGGGGTGGCCCTGTGGATGCATCCTTCAGCAAGTTTGAGAGGAATATGATGCTTTTGGCTCTCTTCTAGCCAGGAGGCTTACTATGCAGATGGAAGGATCCGCAGCCCCCGGAATATGAACACTGGATAAGAGAAGTTATCTGTCATATTCATTTGGAAAAGATTAGATATATTCTGAAATGATCTGTTGAGAGATTTTGGGAAACTTTGGAAACATTTGTATGTCATATTAAAAGTATGTCAATGCCTGTTTAATGTATCTGTGTAGCTCATCCGGGTGGGAGGGGATTTTGCTGTATGGTTTTTGTTTTGTGTGTGTGTGTTTTCTAAAAAAATAAAATAAAAAACCCAATAAAAAAGACTGATTAAAAACTAAAAATACATAAACAAAGCCAAGACAATAAGTCATCACCCCAGATAATGTCTTTAATATTGTCTGCCTCCTTTATTATCAAAGAACTGAGTTAATCTTCAAATTTATTGAACTACAAGAGCCAGTTACAAGAAGAAACAGACTGATGAATCTGCTTGTTTTTGGATGTTAGTCTAAATTATATCTATAATAAGCACAAGAGATTTGTTTCAAATAACTTGTTACAGTCACATTTATGCAGAACAGAAACCTGCCGTTCAGATAAGCTGCATTTATGAGCGCTGACTTCAAGAGTCGACACACAAGAGAAAACATTGATCCAGAGTAGAGCTAAACAAGCCTTTGTGTTCAGAAGAACAGAATGTTAGAGCAGGTGGGTGTGAAAACTCACTGCCTGCCTCCATGAACGTCTCGGGTCGATATGTGAAACCACTTTCCTGCTCCAGCGGTTTTCCACAGCTAGCGTGTTCACCGGGTCGCTGCAAGTTGATGACCGTCTTCAAAGCACATCTGAGAACAGCCATACACAGTAAGTTAAAACTAGAAAGTTCCTGGAGAAACTTTGACGGGGACTGCCTATTTATTATTAAATTATTATGAATATTAAATATTAATGAGTATTAATATTAATAACAAATACCAATTATTAATATTAATGATTATTAATATATTGTTAATTTATTATTATTGAAATAATAACAATTAATAATAAATATTAATAATATTCACACCAATATTTAGTACAAACCGGATTCCAAAAAAGTTGGGACACTAAACAAATTGTGAATAAAAACTGAATGCAATGATGTGGAGGTGCCAACATCTAATATTTTATTCAGAATAGAACACAAATCACAGATCAAAAGTTTAAACTGAGAGAATGT